TGGGTTAGATGTCAAGCTGATTGTTCCAGATAACTTTTGAGGTGGTTGGTCATGTCTCAGACCCCTGTCCATCGTGATAGGCGGCACAAATATCATGTCACCATAGCTGATCGATTCTTTCAGACAATTAAATGTGGATGTTCGATAGTCCAAGTCAATTGAAACACATTGAGAATAGCTCGTGTTCATGACTGTTGACAACATTCATTTGTGGACTTCACATGCAACCCATTTAACTCAATTGAGGATGGACCATCTCACACCGTCATAGCAAGTTCCCGACGGGCCGTGTGAGCTATACCTCTATAGGCTTAGTTACACCTTGTGCTGGCCTTGTTCAGTGTGTTGTCCAACGAAAAGCGCTGTGACAACACAGCAGTTCAGCTGCATTATCGCCTGAGGTGAGAACACGGGTGCCAATTCTTGTGTGCCCAACATAATCGTGTCTCTCTCTTGAGTACAAAAGCACAGGTAATTCTCAAATCAAGTCTTTTTCAACCTTTTCCAAGTCTGTGTATCCGACTTTCTTCCTTTTCTTTTGGTAAGTCTCAACCCTCGATCCCTGTCTCAGACACCCAATCCTTCTTTGGTGGGGCAAAAGAGGCTGGGAATGGCATCGTCTACCTAGGTAGTATTACCAGCCTCTCCAAGGAACCCAACCTCGCGCAAAGAATCCTCATAGTCCAACCATATCTCATTCTTCTCTCTTAGCTTGCAGCATGCACTTACTGTCCTTCTTCTCCCATCTTGTTTTGTGATATCAATTGGTCAAAACGAGCTTGTGTGTTGTATGTGAGTGTGGAGTGGGAAGAAGTCGGTCTGCATTCCAAGTTTTACACCCTCTCTCAGTCTGTTGCTCTTGATCTCGCCCAGAAAAAGAACCAGAACAAGAATGAACTTCCAAAACTTCAACTTCGACTTTGTGGAAGCACCTCGTACGTGACACCATCACACCCTCTTTTGTTTGTCTGGTCTCATTTCGAAACCAAGACTATACACATACACATACACATACACACATTACATTGCACTACACTACTATACACCTACACTCACTACACTTACATACATACATCTACACCAACACCACCCACACACGCACGCACGCACACTTGGCACTTAACTGGCTTCGTCTGTCGGTGTCGCTGACGGGTCTACCATTACAGGTCAAGGTCCTCCAAAGAGGCAGACTCCTGGCCAACAGTCAATTGACGACGACGATCAATCATCTCAACCAATTCTTCACCCATATTATGATCTTAGACAGCGTGTAGGACGAAACTCTACCAATCCGTCAGCATCACCGCCTGGTGCTCTATTCTTTGCTCCATCACCTCCTTCTCTGCCACCATCAAAGGTCACAGCCTCGACAGCTGAGATCTACGGCCCCGAACGATTATTCGGTTCTGATCTTCCTGGAGGGTTTGCGGCACCTACACCACCAACGCAGACGCATCACACTGCACCGCCTGTCGCTCCTCCAGTTGCTCCAACTGCACCTACAGCTCCTACACCTGGGTCTGTTCGATTCGACGAGGCTCAATTAGCCATGTTCGCCGCCGAGAACGCAGCTCGCATGGCGAGTATCAAGGACGAGTTGACAATAGCCGCTGGCAAGGTCACTCCCGGCGTTGACGATACACCATATATTCAATACGCTCTCGAGGCTCTCACGAGAAATCACGGCGGTCCTTCTGCTGCGCATTTCCCTTCCGGATCTTCGAATGACTATGAGGAGGACTACCCACAACCAAGACGGTACGCCGATGAGGAGATGGCGAGGGGATACCCTCAATTGACACAACCGGAGCCCGCTTACGTTGAAGATCGTTTACCAGAACCGATCGAGACGCAAGCTCCTCGCTACGAGATGCCCGATACCTCCGCGCACCCTGCGCCAAATGCTCGTCATCACAACGAGCCCGTTGCTCATCACAATGCACCAGCCGTTCCCCGGTCACCAACTCCTTCAGATCACTCTGAGCCTGACCAGTTCGCTCAGAGGGAGAAGGCTCGCCCTCGATCCATCCCCATTGACCGAGCGCATCCTCCTCTCATCTTCAAGCCTGCCATTCTTCGACCAGTCTTTATGTGCATCTTTGCCTTGTTGTGTTTACTCATGATAGCCGCCCTCATCTTCTGCGCTGTCTACTCACAAAAAGATGGTGGTTTCACTCCATATCCTGGAAGTATCTACAGCGGTCAATACTTTTTGTTCAGAATCTTGCCTCAAATATTCGCAGGAATCATCTTAATCTACGCCCAATCTATCGTCACTGCTTCAATGCGAACTATACCATTCACCGCCATGGCTGATGCTGAGCCCCGAGAACGATATCTCGCACTCTTCCGACGATTGCGTCCTCTAACATTTCTCATTCCATCGTTCACAGGACCCTGGCAATTCCAGTTCTTCAGCGTGTGTACATGGCTCGCTAATTTCACGATCCCTCTCATGAGCACAGCCTTCTCATGCATCTTCAAGGACCAGGGTTGGGTATGGGCTGCAGTTCAGGGTATTGCTTGGTCACTTGTCGCGCTCTACATCTTGATGCTGGCAGCCACCATCGCTTTGACGATGTTCTGGCGCAATCGGTGGACGGGGCTCTTGTGGGATATTCGATCTGTGGGACATCTTCTCCCCCTGTTAAGTCAAAGCAACACTACCAGTAGCTACAACAGCCCGGAGGTTGTCCAGCGCAGCTCTGTATTGCAGGACCAACTTCGACAGCGTGTTCTTGACCGACTCGGATACTGGCAGATGGATGGCCAGCAAGGTGGCGTGTGGTACGGCATCGGATCTGTTGGTGACGGTGGTCACACCGATTACAGAACCTACGACCTCGTCCTCAAGAAGCCCGAAATCTCACCTGCGTCTTCTCTCGATGACCTTGAGGCTGAGGTTCGCCACTATAGGTACACGCCTATCGCCTTGCGCACTTCCGTAATTCTGGGCTCAGTCATCTTCATGACCCTCCTGATCCTCGCAATTGTTCTCGTCTCCTTCTTGCCCCAGACTCGACTGGACCAGGGATACTTCCCTCAAGTCCCTGCCCGACCTGGGGGCGGAGCTTTCTCTGCGGCCAACTTCCTCTACGCTTTCATCCCCTCTCTACTGGGCATGATCATGTTCTTGCTCTTCCAAAGCCTCGACGACGCTCTCCGCATCCACCAGCCCTGGGCAGACATGTCCAAGTCTTCTGGTGAGATTGCGTCCAAGTCCATCCTCGCCGATTACGCTGCTTGCTACCCCTTCCAGTGTACATGGAAAGCTCTCCGTAACGGCCACTGGCGTGTTGCTGTGACCTCTTTCATGGCCACAATCTTCATCTTCATCCCCATCCTCGCAGGTGGCCTCTTCATGGCCCTGACCAACTTCCGTGGTCAGGTCAAGATGTTCCCCAACATGCCCGTCTTCGGCGTTCTCCTCGCCTTTCTCTTCCTCTACCTCGGGTGCCTCTCTCTGATGCTGCCCGGTCGTCAGGCCCTCCGCATCCCTCATCCTGCCGACACTCTCGCCGAGATCATTTCTCTCAGCGCAGCTCGGGAGACCGTTTCAGACCCTGCTTTCTTGGCCGTTAGGGACACTGCAGACCTCAAGTCCCGCCTGGGTCTTGATCGCTCTGATCCTCGTGAGCAGTCAATGTGGTACTTTGGCGTTTCCCGGGACGAGCGCTACGAGAGCGTCCGCCCTATGAAACGATTTACCGAAAAAAGAATGAGATCTCATAGATCTACTTGCTAATGATGCTCATAAGCACGAATTGATGCTGTAATGTTTAAAGGGGGGGTTAATGAGACGGAATGGCATCTCATGATAAGAGCCCAGTCATGATTTGATTGTGTTGCGATACTTGGCTTATTGGACGCGTATGGTTTTGATTGTTTTGGTGTACTCGAAGCGTTTGTTGATTTTTACTCGCATGTTATGGCTGCATTGTGTGGGCGTTTTAGAAAAGGGCAAATACTTGGTTGATGTTCACACGTTCACACATTAAAGGATGGCTTGTTTATGTACGTTGAAGAGAAGGATATCTTGGGACGAATGGAATGGAAGTATTGGAATGTATCATGTTGCTGGGGAGTCTTGAGGAATTTATCACAGTTTGGAGAAAAAGTAATGTCTCAGTTGCTTTTAGACTGCTTGTGTTGTGTGTATGGCTGGGGAACTTTAGAGCGGATGAATACGAAAGAAGAGGAGACCATATCTGGGTCTTCAGACTCCATTATTGTCAATTTTCAGCTGTTATAAGTATCATGACATGGTCCCAATGCGTATGTGATAATTGTCATGGGCAACGAATGTCTGTGGTTGGGTGAGACATCACCAACCACATGAAGGTATTTACAACACCAAAGCGAAGCACATGATCGTGTGTCTGAGAACAAGTAGTATGTGGACGTCATCGTCAAGCTATTTTCATTCGGCAATAACCGTTGGTAGTTTAATCCTATATAAAAGAATTGCTATCATAAAGAACTCCCCGTAGCGTTTTCCTCTTTTGGTCTTCCCGGACTCAAATCAGGAATGTTCTTTCATGAGAACTCATATCCCGTTAGTTTGAGTGTACCCACACCTTTGTTCGTCAGTCAAAGACCCAGCCACCTTTTCCTTGCGCCTGCTCTGAATCTGGTATTCAGGCGAATGCATCTGGCTCAAAGAGCCAAAACCAGTATAACAAAGGAAATAATGAATAACGAGTGGTGGTCCACGTGCCACTCGCCCACCCCGAGATTGGGGGTTTTCCGGAACTCCGTGCTGGTTCTCTCGGCATTCATCCGTAAAGAAAGAGAAGAAAGAAAAAAGAAAGGTCGTTATAGTCATGTCGCGTCTGGCAACGTCGATGCGGATAGTGGAGTTGTCCACTTGAGTCATAAATGAGTGTGAAGTTGTCATAGGTCGTAGAGACATCGTAGTTGGTATCATCATGTACGTGGAAAGAAGGTGGTCGTGAAAAAAATAAAAATAAAACTGAAGAAAAAGAAAAGTGATATGGTCATCAGCCTCGACTGCGTCGTCCTAGCATACGCCCTATGACATCGTTTTGTCTCTTGCGAGGCGATGAAGGTGCAGTTCGCTGGCCTGTCTTTCGTTGGTCACTTCCTGACCGACGATGAAACCAGAATGAGCGGCTCCCAGACTCAGTATCAGAGTCATCATATTCAAAGACTGAGTGGGGCTCGGCCTCCGGTTTCTCTTCCGTCTCTGGTTGTGGAGTTGGCGGAAGAGGACGCATGCAAGGGAGAGACTTCTTTGAGCGCATCACAGAAGCGGGTGGCTGGGTTTTGGATGCACAAACATGTCCCGCAGAATGGCGTAAGGCGGTTTCAGAGTGTGAATTGATCTTTGTGGGTGTTGGGGCTCGCATCTCTTGAGATGTCGTGGGACGTCTGTCCTTTGGTGTAGTAGGTCGGGGTGAGTCTTCAGAAATGGCAAAGCGTGCAACAAGTGGTGAGTTCTGAAGGGAGCGGAAGATGAAAACCTCTTCGTGGGGACGAGGAGGACGTTGAGGCTTCTGCCTCACATCTCGAGAGCATTGCCAAGATGGGGTCATTGGTGCATTTCGAGGTGGAAGTGGGAGAGGCTTTGGGAAGGGGGAGTAAGTTGCACTTGGCTTTCGGCCTTGGTTCTGAATGCTCTTGGGGAGAGGCCATGGGTTGATACGGCGCTGCTCAGGCTGCTTCTGTTGTGGCATCTGCTGGATTTGCTGCTTTTGCTGAATATGTTGTTGGGTTTGTGGGTGAGGAGATGGAATCAAAGCTGGATACTGCTTTCTTGGGTGTGCCTCGAGGTTGTTGCTCTTGCTTGGAAGCCAGAAGCTATCCCAAAGCTCTGTAGCATGAGCGTGATACTGATAGTCGTCGTCCAGAGAAACTTCCGAGTCTGTTCGGTCGTCGATCAGACTGGGCGAAGATCCCTCAGACCCCAATGACGCTCTATCGTCAGAGAAGCGGCTTCGATAGTGCGTTGGGCGTTCCGGCTGTTGAGGATACGAGTAGTTGGTGACAGGGTAATACTTTGAGACGAGCTTGAGGTCGGCCAATCTGCTAGAGGACTCCATGGTGGATCGTGAAATTTGAAGCATGAAATTAACTTGCAACAATATTGATATCGAAATGAATAAACCAGGGATGCAGACGGCATGATATACAAATACATATGAAAGCAGAGAAGCTGTCAAAGGAAGTTGAAACATAGCGTGGGTCCAGTACACCCACTCTGAGCGTTGCATTGCATGTGTCTATGTTGATCAAGCAGACGCCCTTGACCTGGAGGGGCATTCCTGGGTAGAGGGGCTTCTCAGTCTAGCTCTAACCATGGAGCCATCCCTCTTTTCAGACAACCCCAAGAGCATTCCGAACACTTGCATCTTCCCAAGGGCTTTGACAGGAACATGGGCTTGCTCTAGTTCGGGCTCGGGCCTCGGGGGTTTGTTTGGTATGGAGACGCGCGATTGATCCCTTGCGTCACACTTTTTGGCTGTGATTTTTTCTACACTCTCAGACTTGCAGTATCCGTAAACTATTACAGTTCTGCTGCAGATGCATGATTCTCTTTTCTTTTCTGCATCTGAGGTGCAGTAGCCTGTTGGCGGATGACCATAGTGCATCTTCCGTAAAGAAGCAATGTGAAATAATGATTCGGATAGGAGATTCAAATCCGACGACGCCGGAAAAAGCAGTCAATTGCTGGTAGGTACCAAAATAGACCAATTGACAATAAACAAAGGAAAGCTGGGCGAAGTCTCAAAGCACAGTATGCTTGACTCGTTCATGTAAGCAACAAAGGTCTTCTGAGCAGCGATGGTATGGTGAACTCGCATCTAGGCAACTTCAACGAGCTTACTTCCTTGATTCTGAGTTGTTTACTCAGGACCAGAATGATTAGTGCATCCGTTCAACACGCGTTGTGATCATCCCTTAAGCGAGACGGCAGGTTTCCAAGGAATCGGGTCCCTAGTACTAGGTCGAGACACGCGGGAGCTCGTGAGGTTTGGTCCCTGGGGAATGTCAGACGCTACCCACGATCGGCGAACAAGGCCCATGTTGAGAGCTATGTTTGGCTCGCGTCTTTGAACAGCAGTTGAGCCCTTTGTTCGCATTGAACACCGCAGTGTGGCCGAGACTGGTAACTCACACTTGGTATAGCGGTTCTTGTATGGTTTCAAAGGCATCTTGAGAAAAATGATGGCAGTATCTGTTGGCACGCTCAGTACGAGACGCGTCTGAGCGCTCTGCTTGACTGAAGCATCTCGACAAGCGAGACTCAGGATAAGGCATTCAATATGGAGACCAGCAAGACCTGGACCAGCTGGAGCGGACAGAACGCGAGTCGCGACCGAAGTGACTGACACAGGCACGGCCTGAGCCGAGGGTTCAGTGTCGAGGTCTCGAGGGATCCTCCCTGCTTGGATATCCAGAAGATGGGAGAACTGCGCGGCCTCTGAGTGGAGTCGTGAGACACTTGTCTCCGATAGCTCAGAATAACATCGGATGAGTGTTATTTGAGCTGAGATTGTGGATCTTTGATCCGTAGCAACGCAGTCTTTTTGTGGAATAGGAAAAATGCTCTATTACATCTGGATTCATTGACCGGCGACTCCGCGCGGTTTAGAGTTGGAGACTGTTCCAGGGGATAGAGGCTGTAATGTTGAAGATAAGCTGAAGATTCAATGGCTAAGAATTCACAAGTGGAAGAGAAAGCTGAGGAAGGGTCATTTGTTAGCGCTTGTAAGGGAAGTCCCCAGTCAACTTCAGCTTGGCTCAAAGGAGGCACGTAAGCGACTGTTAGTTAGTCCAGTCTTATGTAACTATCATGAACTAGACATCTCCCTACCTCAGTATTTGCCAATCAGAGCAACTGCCGATGACAAGAAAAGTGATTTGTAGGAAATAATGCACTGAACAACTTTTTATCCCTGACTGGATGGTCGTATCGGCAGCTGTACCCTGCATTAGCTTGCACATCTCTTGAACTAAGCTTAGTACTGCATCGTGGACGCAGGGTCCCCACCATCTCCAGGAACCAAGCCCGCGGAGAAAAGAGAGGATAAGATTCACTATTTGCAAACTCAAAGATGAATACCGAAGCAATTTAATTTCAATTAGAGCGTGGAAATCTAGTTAAGCTCAACAATAGGTAGAGCCTACAGATATACAACATTCTTTCCTTTCCTGCATCTGCACTTCTATAACCTTGAAAATATACTTACCGAGTATATATCTCTAGTTCAAGTTCTTCTCCCTTCACTAACCAAACTCCCTCATCTACACACTACATCTCCCTCAATGTCACCTTGGACCCTTTCTCCCGCATGAAAAACCTTTCGGATCAAAAGATGAGCCTCATCCTTCAAAATGCAGTTGCTGAGTCGAACCCCTTACTCAAGCATCAGAACTAACCTGCATAACACGATAGTGACCGTTTCTGAGCTTTTGTAACCCCCTTCTCTGGACAGTTCGCGCGATGCATGTCTTAAAATGGTCTTGTGTCAGGCCACCAGCCTCGCTGTCGCAAGGGCTTATAGCACCCAAATCGCTCATGCACAGCCTTTTCTCGATCTTAGATCGGCGATCTGACTGTGTTTCTGCCCTTCTTTATCGGTCATGACGTCTAAAATCTGATGTTTCGTCAAGGGCAGGAATGGTGATGGTGTTGAGAAGAGAGTTATCTCGTGGTTTTCATGCACGCCTTGTATGTGTCACATAGTTGCGATCGAGAAAGTGCCAGATCGAGCATTTTGCGATCGTTCACCAGCTGAAATGCAGAGTGCAAAGTGTGCCTGCATCTTGCATCTTAGCTGCAGATGAGATGCATGTTTTTGAGCTATTGGAAAGATCTGTCTAAGCAGAGATTTAGAGAGGGGGACAGCGAGTGGTGATCTCTTCTGGCTGCAGGCTCATTCATCCGAACTGTATACGCATCTGAATTGTATACGGTGGCTTCTTACAGTCTTCGCACATCGGATTCGATAATCAAGGTCCCGAATGGTCCTTGATGGAGGGTGCTTAAGGCTGAGAGCTCGCTGACACATTTCGTATAGCAAGCCAACCAGAGGTTATTCCCATCACATCAGATAAAAGCCTATTTCTTGGGCTCTCTCATAGTCGACTTGTTACTCGACAATGTTCGAGATGAGCCGTCTCTGTCTGAGAAGCAACCAAAGAATCTCGATCAACTTTTGAGGCGTCCAGTAAGAGGACCGCGATGGTGAATATGTTGTAGAAGCAAGACTCATATCTCAGGAACTGGTTTTTGAAGGTAGGGATGCAATTCTGAAGCAATGTTCCTGGTTGCAACCATCATAGGATTCTACTCGATCGCTCGATCTGTCAAGACACTCTTAGCTCTGCGAGATTTTAAACTTGTTATAAAGAAACCGGTGGGCTCATTAAACTTGTGGCTCTTTTCCATATCTCGCAGAACGAAATTGTCTCCTTGATCGAGATGAAGATTAATGAGATTCATGATGCCCTTCTCTCATGATTCTCACACTGGAGGATACTCGTAAACTATAGTCTAGGGTATCAGTCCACACCATCTCGCGTTTCATTCCAACACAGTATCCGATAACGAACCGATAATGTCACAAAACATCCGAAGGCGCACTCTTGGCGAGACATGGCTACCGAATTGACTAAGCCGCCTACCTTACCTTTTCATCGACCAATTCGAGAATCGAAGTACGCAGACAATGCTGCACCTTTTGCCCAACAGTTACCCTACAGAAGAGCAGTTTCGGCTCAGCGAATGTGATCATTCATGTTTCACTCGCCGGCTGTCTCATACGCTCGAGAAACCCGAACGCCAACTGAAGGGAGGGAGGAGGAAGTGCTTACTCGGTGCGCCTCTGACCAACAGCTCGATTCACCTTTGTCATTTTGTGGACGTTTGGGCGACACTTCTGGAGTTACACGAATACGCAACATGCAGGAGAAAAAAAAGCCCAATAACTCCCAACAACCTGCGAGATACCTACAAGTACTTTGTTGGGCGAGGCGTCATGTAGAAGGGACAATAGCTCCGTAAGTGTCTGATATGGACTCGAATATGATCCAAACCGCGACATTTCGATGCTTTTTTTCTCAATTACAGATGCCAACCATAAAACTCAGGGCCTCCAACTGCTCCGCTTCAGCTTCAGCTCGAGACCGAACTAGGAAAATGAGGAACAAGACTCTGATTGGAGACTGAATACCCCGTAAAACGGGGCGTGCCGTGGCTCCCGCTCCTCCAGACCAGATCTGGAATAGACTGCCTCATGAGCGTGGTGGTATGAGATTGCGCTGTTGTCGAGGAATCAATTCATGCCTCACCGACCTTCAGATCATATGTTTACACACTCAACGTTGGGGCTTTCAGCACTAAAGCCTAAAGTCGGAGAAGGGCTCGAAACAGGTTAACTTACGGCATGCAGCTGTAGGAAACGTGGCAGTCAACCGTTGTTCCGCCTAACTCACCCTAACCTAACGCCATGACGCAGCGTTACACTCGGCCCCGTTTTCCACTTCCCATTTCGCCCAAGCAAACCAGCTGCTCGGTGCGGAAAACTTGGGCCAAAACCAGGGGGGGCTGGGCCGGGATCAAGATCCGGCTCCCGCTGACGGACGACAATTCTCACTTACAGTAACAAGATGAGCCCTAAAGTTCCAGCTAGCTCGAGGTCCAATGGCCGGCCAATGGTGCAGCCCGCCTCGTCCTGTCAGTTTTGTGCCCAAGGCTCCCTGGTATTGAGTTCTCGTACGCTGCAGCTCTGCTTCCACCTCGAACCCTGTATGTCAGGGGCGGTCAATATGATTAAGCAGGTCAGTAAAACGGACGATGGCCTATGCGCTTCCTCCTACGCTGGAGTCGGTCGGTAGCCCGAAGCTCTTAGATAATACTAGGTACTAGAGACGTGCGGCCATACAGAGGTTTGGCGAACTTAATAAAGGCAATACTTTGAGAAAGTGACAAGTTAGACGGTCAGATTAACCCTGGTCCGACTAAGCTTATCGGGTTTCGATAGAGATGGTTAAAGCCTCACTGCCTGATGCAACAATATGTGGTAACAATGCCAGGACTCGGCGAGATGAGATGAGGCGATATGGAAAGTCAACGGGATGGGTGAGTAGACGGGTCAAACGCCAGTCACCGAAACAATGCCTGAGAAACGGAAAAACATGATTATCAAGTGACTGACTGATATCCAAACCTCCAGCTCTTTGTCATTGTCCTACTCGTTAGGCCTTTATCGGATGGATTTACCCTAGAATCATTGATGGTCGACGCAGTGCCCGGCCTTATTCGAGAGTGGAGAGTCTAATGCATACGTACCGTACCTTACAAAGGCAAAGACATGAATCAAAGAAAGATAAAGACACTCGGCTCGAGTTGCTTGTCCAATGGCGATTTGAAGAGGGATGTTTTAAATAATAATGTATCTGTAGTATCTGTAGCCGTCTGGATGAACTCTCGCCGGCCAATGCTAGTACAATATGATGATCCTCGATCCCGGTTAAGCCTTAAGAAGAGTGGCATTATTAGTTGCATTAGCAAAGCTTTTATCGCTCTTCGTTCGCCAAACCAAGGAAACCTGGCGCAACTAATTCTATTGAGTCATCAATCGCGGCGGGCAGTGCCATTGCCAGTGCCAGTTGGTTTGAGGGAGGAGACCTTGGCGCAGTTTTGACAGCGCAACTTCCTTACCTACGTCAGTGCGCGCACCTTCCTTCTTCCCCTTCCATCTTGCACTTTACCTTCACCTCCTCTTCCTATCATCACCCCTAAAGAATGAGTCTTCGCACATGATGGTGATATCTCAGCTCATGCGTGGATAACAAACTCCTCGGAAAGACGCCATTGGCCCGTAAAGAGGAGTATGTTGCTCTTGTGCTCCCCTTACTTCGTCCTTCCCAGCCGCTCGATTTCCTTAGCTGCATTTGCAGCACTGCTTGTACGGGCTCCGAGCTGCGCATGACGGCTTCGCGACAACGTTCAAGCCATTGCGCGACAATTACTAATTTTCGAGCCGCAAACAGATTCGCTGGACGAAAAAAACCCTTTCAAACGGTCTCAATAAGAACATTCGACCAAACGAAGCGACCAGCTAATTAGCTGCTCGGCCACGCGCGCGCAAACCTCCAAACAACCTCTTTTTGTTCCTTGCGTTGGTATCGTCGAACAAATGCGATTGCGCGCAAACTCGCGTTGTTTCTATAAATTCCACCGCATAAAGTAATTGGCTACCTCAGTCAAATACTGACCATTTTCGCGCTGATTATTTTACGTATCGCGTGCGCGTGCGTTTTGTGCGAAGTGCTTGCAGTTGGAGATTCTCTCTTACTAGTGGCCCGTTTCTCAAGGACCTCTCAGCTTGTCTGGACCTTGGTCTGGCGGGCGGTCACTGCAGCTCCTAGCACCAACCCCCCCAATTTTCCAGCTTCGGGCCTGGCTTGGGTTTCCTGCCACCAGCTTTTTTTTGACATCACCAGCCGGTGCCCATCCTCTTGGGCTCACATACACTCACCCAATTTGACCCTCCTCACCTTTACTTCGCTCGCCTCAACATTCCAGTTGGGCAATTACACTTCTCGGTTCTGTCTCGAGTAGACTCAGTCCGGACTGAGACCTGGTCGTCCTTCCCGAGACCATCACTGTCATTCAGTCTGAAGAGGCCTCTCTATTCTGATCTGCTCACCCGTTTCGCAACTCGAAAAGAACCCGACTTTTGTACAACGCATCAAGAGCTCCCCCACTCCACCCTCCCGAAACATCCACCGTAACGCAACACCACACCGGCGCCCGCTGGTGAACCTTCAACTTGTCGAACTTTCGTAACCCAGTTCCTCGCCCTTTCAGCGCCGCAGACGTGACCAGAATACGACCATCATCTGCTTCTTACGACCGTCACGACCCTAACGCGCCCACGACCCCTACCCAGCACCCGCAACGCCAGCATTCAAGGACTCCAAGTCTTGGCTCACGACCGCTGTTTAATCAGACGTCGGATCCCATTGAGCGGCTCTCCACGCCCCGAAGTCTTCGTCGAACCCCAAGATTTGACGCACCTCCGACTCCAGCACCTGAGCCTCGCAAAGTCCATATCGCAGCTGCCTCCCTCGGTTTTGAACCCAAGGCGACCCTCGCACCCGTTGACAACCTACCGGAGAACCATCCCACTGTATTGGGACTCATCCCCGTTCGTTCAGCACCGCATCAAACTCACCGCCCCCGCCGACGGCTCTCACAGGACCTGACTGAAGATCCTGACGAGGTGTCTTCGGAGCATCCCCAATCCCCTCCGAGACAGACTCCTTCCGTACCTGCAAACTATCCAGAACCACACCCCGTGGTTAAGGTCTCCAAGCATACCCACAGCGCCATCCTCTTTGCACTCGAGGAGGCGCTGCGCAACCCCAATCCTTTCACTCCAGATCTCGAAGAGGAATCCGCAAGCATGGCCGATCTTATGGCTTCTGGAGGCATGCCTCCAGTATCCAATGGCAAGCCAGCTGCCTCTCCATTCCGCCCTGGCGCAACTCCTGGTCAAACGGGCTCACCCTCTGGTATCAGAGGCCCAAGGATGATCATGCAGGAGCGCGCAGCTCGGGAAGCGCGACAACGCGCCGAGGCAGAGGCGCAACAGCGCGAGAGAGCTGAGCAGGAGGCGCGCATTTTGGAGCAGGCTCGGAGAGCGGAGGAACAGCGTAGATCTGCTGGCGTTGCTGCTGGGCAGGTTCCTGACGCAGAAGCGCGTCAACCCATGAACCCTCAGCGTCAGGCGCAAGCCGCCCCTGATAACACATCAGCCCGCCCCCGGGCGAATACTACATCACAAGTACCAGCTAGCCGGCCCGGGCGATCTGGCACTACCAATCAACCACCTCCCCAAACTTTCACGGGCCCAACTCCCGGAAACCAACCCAATTTTGCTGCACAGGGCACTGAGAGCGGAAACCAGGGAGGGGCCAGTGGCTCAAAGACCCGAAATTCTTTTCCTCATGCGTTTGAGCGATGGGAGACGCTATCTGCGCACTGGGAAGGACTCACCAGCTACTGGATCCGCAAGCTTGAACAAAACAAGGATGAGTTGAATCGGGATCCTTTGAATCAACAGCTCGCGCGCCAGGTGACAGATCTATCTGCGGCCGGAGCCAATCTATTTCATGCCGTTGTTGAGCTTCAGCGTCTTCGCGCAAGTTCGGAGCGAAAGTTCCAGCGATGGTTCTTCGAAACTCGAACTGAATTGGAGCGCGCGCAAGAAGTCAATGCCATGTTGGAGGCTGCCCTGGACCAAGAACGTCGAGGCCGAGCAGATGCTATCCGAGAAGCTGTCGAGAATGAGCAAGGAACTTCTAAAGCTCAGAAACAGCTCGCTGAGATGCGCAAGGAGCTGTCCATCTCTAAAGAGGAGGCGCGTCGTGCATGGGAGGAATTGGGACGACGTGAGCAGGAGGAACGTGATAGAACGCTGTCGCTACAGTCAGGACAGCCTACTATTGTTGGAGGCGTGCAAGTGGTTCCAATGACACATGGCGGTCCAAGCAGACATCAAAGCAGCCGAGCTCAAGGGGCCTTTCAGACTGAGTATGGAGCTGGCTACCCGCCTGAGACGACTTCCTCTCCCCAGACTCAGCCTCCAACAACAAATGCTGGCGAATATCGTCAACAGGGTGGTGGCCTTCAAGCACCAGTATCAGAGGGTGGTTACAGCGAAGGTGAGTACGTGATTGATGCAAATGGCAACTTCCTGTTGGATGCCCAAGGAAATAAGATTCCCTTCGCTGGACCACCCTCTACATATTCCGGTTCTGATGCTGAAGCAGAAGAGTATGCAACGCCCGCTACCACCAACCCACCAAGCGGTAAACAAGATTCTCCTTCCACCTCTACTGGAGGAGGAGGCAGTGGAGGGAGCGGAGGCCAATGGACTGGCGCATACTCAGACCCCCAAGACTATTCCGGCCAAGGCTATGGGACTCCTGGCTGGGAGACAGTCCCTCGCCATCACCATCCTACCCGGCTGAGTGATGTCATGGAAGAGGAGGATGAACGCAGCCGAGCCAGTACGAGCCGTGTATAGGACTCTGCGAGTTCATGCTGATGCGCATGGCCGGCGTGTATACGACTCTCTTTTCAAACAGTAATTTAATTGCAACCAAACGACACGTTCATTTGAAGCCGGGACGAGTACAAAACAGCTATGCTCCGGCAGAGCAAAGGAGAGCCCTAATTTTTCAGATCAGTTGTCAGTTACAGTTCTATGTTGGAGCGTCGTCGCATTATTACAGCCATTCCCGCTTTACAGCACTGGAAACTCGGTCCCAGGACGTGTTCTGACACCTGTACATTCGACCGAAACGAGTTTCCAAGGCCAAGTCTGCATCTAGAGAAGGTCTTCATTATGTCATAATAATCCACACCATGCCTGGGACCCTGTTCGAATTGACCGCTTTTTGTTCAACCGTATCTATACATCAGTTATACACATCGAAGCAGACTCGGGATCACACAGCAAAACAGTTGCCTCGTGTGTTCTTACCTATCTCTTTTATTATGAACTTATCATGAAAAGTTTCGGACGATTGAATCAATAGCGACGAAGAGTTGTTGCGGATATGGTCTTTCCATCACGAAAAGCTTCACTTCTGACCTGATCAGTCCGGGGACAGCTTTTGCTACTAGGGGACGTTTGGAGTTGATATCTATTGCATGTATGGTTTCCTTGCTAAAATAAGAACGAGATGATGAGATGTGGAGTTGAGGGTCTTGGAGTACGGAGTGCGTATGGAAATTGGAGTTATTGCTGTTGTTTTTCTCACTCGCATGGATGACAGGAGATCCTGGCCAACTAATAATTGCTAGATGGGATCGGTGTTGCAGGGCCACATTCATAAGGACTAGACTACAGGGTTAATGTAAATTTTCTATGTTTTACGATGTAAACATTTGACCAATTTCAAGGAACATGTTGTATGTTCGGGATTGATATTGCAGGTGACTAGACCAACTGCAACTGCGCTCGAAGGCATGTGTGAATAGAAAATGCAAATACTCCAGCGGCAATGCGTTGCCGTCGATACTATTCATTCGAGCCTTAAAACGTATATATATGTGTGTGGACATTGGTATGCGAAGGGTTGTTTGAAACCCAGGAGCCTTGCCATGGACACTAATCAAGAAACCCAGAAGAAACTCTACACAAGAAAACGCCATTCGTTCGCCTCTCTTACTCTTCACAACTCCGAAAGCTACATAGAGAGATATTTCGTATTCATACAGCTGCGTCACCCCTTGTCTCAGCACCGTCCTGCTGAGATGTGGTGCCCCAAGGAAAGCCATCGCTGGTGCTAGCTTGTGATGGCTGGCGGCTTCTGCTCCTGAACCAACTCAATGAGAGGATGTTACCAAGAGCGCCTGAGTCTGTGGAGCTCCTGTTTCTCTGGTATCGACGGGCCTTGAGACCTGGAAATCCTGTGCTCTTCCGCCTTCGTCGTGTAAGTCGTCGAGGTGTAGATTCGGTGCTTGGCCCAGATTCATCCCCAACAGGGCAACTGGTGGAAGATCTCTTGGTTGGGAGCAGAGGTGAGGACTCTGTATGGCGCGGCAGTGTACTAGACCGTCTCCTATTGCCTGGAGTACTGGGCTCATCTCGATCCTCCAACTCATCCCAAATCTCAGCTCGCTCAGCCCACCGAGGGGTCCTCTTGCGAGAGGGGACCAGTGGTGTTTCGTCAATCGCGGGCGGGAATGTTTGATATGTATGTGGAATTGAGTCTTCGTCTGCAACGGCATTATCTGAGCCAAGTAGCGACTCTTCCTCCTCGGTGTCCTCCACCAGTCCAAGACCAGGAGCAAGGGACGACTGTCCAACGCCGGGTGTATGCTGCTCGTCGCTTAATCGCCATGAGAGTGCCAGGACACCCGAAAGCAGAATGACAGTTCCTAAAGCGATGAGACATGCTCTTAGAGGCGATATTAGGCTTGTCTGGTTGAAATATATCAAGCCGTCAAGAATGGCAATGATGTTGTAGACGCAGAAAACCAAAGGGTAAAGAACCGAGGTTGAAACAAGTTTGAGACCTCGGTGTAAGTAGTAGAGCTGGCAGAGAGCCAGCGTGACGAGAGCTAGGACAATCGCCCAAGATTGCCAATGTACGAACTGGTTACGTCCAGCAACGGTCTTGATGACCAGCTCCACCGAGGACTTGGCAAACAACAGCGCATGAGCAGAGAGATCTCCACTGATGACGCCGTAAGTAATGCCTCGAGCCAGCCGAAACCGGGCGTCGTGTGACAGGCTCGACATGCTGTTGATTAGATCAACGGCCAGCGCCAGAGTGAGGACAAAGAGCGCCTGGAGTATCATCCAGACAATGTATGGCCTTCTCGCCATGAGTTCCAACAGCTCCTTCAAATCATGCGCCGGCGAAGGAATGGCTCCGAATATAGCGATCAATACAGCACCGGTTGTGACGAGAATCGTGCCGGACAAAGACCATCTTGTGAAAGGTTCGCTGAGGATCAATGATGCACATATCGAGTTGAATACGAGGCCAGCAGCCTGCAAAGTCGAAAGAACGGGGAGCGGAAGTGTCGAGATCTGAATACTGCTTCCCAGCAAGTTTGCTACAATAAACATGCCCATGCCAATCTGCCACCTCCTCCTTCGGTAGGGTGGCCGTCGGACATCATGAGGTCCCTTTTCGTCCTCGAGTATATGCGACTTTCGCTGCAAGGTCAGACCTAGGCTCTGAACACTGGTCGATAGCAGTCCAACAATAATTCCAAGCTACAGCCGCCAACATTAGCACTTTTATCCATTCACACAGCGCTGTACGCGACGTACAGCTATGCTCCCTCCAGAAGAGATGCCGCCAAGCAACCCCATTGCGCCTGTGCCAGGTCCGAGGTCATCTGGCAAGGAAGAGTTGAGGCGAATTGTTGAGACGTCGCATAGGCAGTGTATGTGGTACAAGAATCGCTTCGTGTTACTGGACTAGGAAAGGGTGTGTTCGTTTCGATAGATTCAAGGGGAATGGCTGGTTGAAGCGCTAGTCGTAGGTAACGCGGGAGGCTATTGAGCTGCCGCCGATCGGAGAGGTATACCAGCTGGTGCTTTATTCGAGAGAGGACCAAAGGATATAGAGAATGAATATGAATACCCAATTTGATGCGATAAATTCATGTCTTGAATTTAAACTAATCAATAGAAAGCCGGAGGCGGACAAGCTTGAGTCGTGCGTGGGACACCTGACGTGAGTAGAGTACAGTAGAGCAGAGAGGCATGCAGCTCTAACACGGGACTAGTTAGCCACTGTGGCGGTGAAGTTACATAATGCACATGTAAACCATGCAAAATAACCTTGAGCTGATTTCAATTATTCACTCTCAAATCCGTACGTGTTTAAAATAAGGCCCTTCCCACAAAATACACCTCATCTTTCCGCGGACTACATGTATCTTGCGATGAGGTGTGAGAACGAGACTCTTTGTTGAATGGCTGTGCTGCCTACCTTACGTAGTGTACTCTAAACAGTGGGGAACAACTGTGGCTTGACTACCTAACCCCCCAGCTCCAGTCAGTTCCCTGCTGGAGCACAGTAAGATACAGCGAAGGAGCTGGTAGGCTGGGTCTTGGAACGGCTGGCGTCACATACACAGCTACCAACTCCATCATAGTCCATCGCCGACCTTGACCTTCATTAACGAGAGGCCATCGCCAGCCTTTTACCACTTCAACCTTGACCCTATACAGGGCTTTCCTTATCATCCTCTCACCTTTTGAATCTACCAAATCCATATAAATCTGCCCATCATGTCGCAACACGCCTTGTCCGACCAGCAGGTACGCATGCCCAAACGACGCAATCCCTCGTCCATCTCACCAGTCCTCTAATTCTAACGCGCGGTTCTCCCCACAAATAGGTCAACAATGAGCTCAGCAAGATGACGGCGTTCATCAAGCAAGAAGCCATGGAGAAGGCCCGCGAGATTGAGATCAAGGCCAATGAGGAGTTCGAGATCGAGAAGTCCAAGCTCGTCCGCCAGGAGACAGACGCCATCGATAGCCAGTACGAGAAGAAGTTCAAGCAGGCCACCATGTCCCAGCAGATCACCCGCTCAACCGTTGCCAACAAGACGCGACTCAAGGTCCTCGGCGCCCGCCAGGAGCTGCTCGACAACATATTCGAGGAGGCCCAGAAGAAGCTCGCTGAGGGTGCCAAGGATAAGGGCAAGTACCAAAAGGCCCTCAAGGGTCTCCTGCTCGAGGGTTTCTACGCTCTGAACGAGCCTGAGCTCCAGGTCCGCGCGCGCAAGAAGGATTACGATGTTGTCAAGAAGGCCATCGAGGAGGCTGCCAAGGAGTTCAAGAAGGAGCTTGGAAAAGATATTACGGCAAAGATTCAAGAGGACGATCCTCTCCCCGAGGGAATGTACGTGCAAGCCTGTCCCAGAAGATCCCTGAAGTGGGCAGCTAACAGAGTATTAGTGCTGGCGGTGTGGTTGTTATCAGTGGAAATGGAAAGATTGACATCGATAACACTTTTGAGGCGAGATTGCGACTCTTGGAAGAGTCTGCTGCTCCTGCAGTACGAGAGGCTCTATTCGGCAAGAATCCTAACCGCAAGTTCTTCGACTAAACCCCTTTGGCCACCATAAATATCTCTATATGGGAGCCTCTACATGCCGTTTCCATGAGTGCACGACTGGGGAGGCTCTTCAACCATTCGCGACCCGCATTGTTCATCAGTCTGCGCTTGTAGTTTAGATGCTGTGTATTGTGTTTGACTCTTTTGTCTGATTTGGGACTTGGCCCGCGGTAGAATTGATTACACGTTCAAATACTCGCGGCATACAACAGTACCTAGTGAATCGCCGTACGCCTTCATCTTTTCCGCCTAGCCCTGTAGCTCTCAAGTTTACTTCACCTTGACCACGATCGTATCGGCGTCTACTGCTTCGTGGAAGACTTCCTCTGATTTTGTGGGAGATGGTTCAGCCACTTGATCCGGCGCACTCTGTGGTGCTTTCTTGAGGAAGTTCTTCATGTAATTCTGCTGCTTCGGAAGGAAGGGATCCTCTTTCTGACCTGGCAGGTCAAATATGCTCTTCTTCGCCTTTCGGCGTGTACGGACTGAGTGTGCAAGTCGCTGCTGGACCCATTCTATGACGCTTTTGGCTTCTGTACGAGCGAGTTTCATACCCGCATCGTTGATCTTTCGCCAAATTTCCCTCAGTCTGACTGCAAGCTCGTCGACATCGCTATTGAACTGTTTTTCCTTCTCCGGATCATCAGATGGTGCGAATGAGCCGTCATCCACGACGATGTTGATAAGGATAATGTTGGCTTGGAGTAGGGCGAAATCTGTCTTGGGCCCGACGAAGAAGTCCTCGTGATCCAAGAGTGCTATGACGCTACGAATAGTAACCACATCATCGGGATGGTAGCGACCCAAGCTTGGGTTATTGAACAAAAACACTACAGCCAGTCGCCGTCTAAGCTCGTGAGATCTGGCTTTGCTGATAGGCAGGCACGCAAGAGCATTGGTCCTCACACATTGTTCTTTGACTAATGTGTGCAGCTGTGTACAGGTTTCAGAGCACTGCATACATGTCAGTCAGAATCTCGCGTACCACCCTTAAGTGTAACTCACAAATGTGTCCCAGCCAGGCTGAGGAATAGCTTCAAGAAGGGCATGGATGGAAGTTTCGTAAGCGACCAATAAATTAATCTCATACATCAAGAACTTGTCCAATGACATACGTAGGAGCGTCCGAGAAGCATAGACAACCGACTCCTGGGACATGTAGGGCGAGATGGCCGTGATGAGCGATAAGAAGGAGCTGAGAGATGACCAGTCGCATCCTTCATAAGGCTCGGCACTTGGTTTCAGGAGATTCAACTGAGAGTCTTGTTGTTCAAGCTCAGAAGAAGCACCGAATCGATGAAACAACTCCTCCAAACGACGCGGCGTGACAATGCGCGCAACTGCTTCTGGACACGAGCTGAGCAAGTTGCAGTATTCTCGTCTGACAAGGGTTGGATTTTGGGAGCAAACCTCATTCAGTATCCATTCGAAAAGCTCATCCGGGAGTCCCCCCTGCATTTGCAAGAGGGTAAGTGGTAGTCCCGAGGCGAGATGTTGCTCACGTGCCTGGTAATCGCCTTGAGTCAACAGTCTCCATGGCCCTTTGTTAAACTTTTTGGGGGCAGCTGTGGGGGATGGTATTGTGTATCCTTCACGAAAGAAGCAATATCGAAGCTGTGAGTGTGCCGGTGCTGACCTCTGAACGGCTCTCATAACTTTCTGGGCATCTTTACCGGTGTTGTTCTTGACAATGCCCTCCATCACATCCCGCGACATCTCGTCTGTTGTCATTTGTTGATCATGTTGTTCAGCATTTGAAAAGGCCTTGATCTTTAAAGCACTTGCATGAGTTGCATCATCCTGTCTAGCGTCCTTTGCGAGAGCTTTCAGGTCGAATTTATGCTTCGACATTATCGCCAATGGAGACGCAGGAAACTCAACTGCAGTTCTCTTGGCCCTTGGAGTCGCAAAGGGATTGTGAAGAGGTGTACCAGTAGCCTTTCCTGGGCGACCTCGTCCGAGGATAGCGGACAGATCCTCCAGCGAATCGTCTGAGGATGCTCCAATATCATCTTCTTCGTCTGAATCTTTGATCTCAAAGTCTCGGGGTATTGGTGCTGTCTTCTTGACCGGGGTCGCCAACTTTTGTTCCAAGGGTGATGAAGGTGGCTGTAGTGACGATGGCGGGTTTGGTGTTGAGACTCTGGAGGACTTGGGCGTTTGTGATTTTGTCACGGGGTTGAAGAAACTCATAATATTACCATTTCTACCCTTTTGAGACATGGCGTATCTGATTCGATAGCCAGCGCTAGTTTAAAAAATGCAGCAGGTTATTTCGAGAGTCTCCTGGTTTTGATACCTTCACCTGCAAAAATGACTGCAGGTACAGGGTGTGTGAAGGAAGTACAAGATGCAGCTACGACATACTAACCGCGTTAATGGCTTTAGGTTGAGACGCGTTTGAGGTACGGTGAGGCTGGTGACTAAGTGTGGCTGCTGTGGCTGCCTGGGGGCCTAGACGCTGACTGAGATGAGTTATGAATAGCATCATCATCATGCGACTGTATCTAGTGCTTAGGCCAGAGCAATCTCTAAAACGACTTCTAAAAGGAGTTACAGATTGCATCTTGGCCGCTGACAGACCTCGCCCTACAGATGTAACCATTTCTAGATGTGGCGCTCTACCAAATGGGCGGCTAAAAGGAATGGTGACAGTTTTTGGCCTATGGCCCCCTTTCTCTAGACTAGAGTTTCCAGAAGAGTCCCCTCTTGGGCATCGGTCTTCTAGTTCACACAGCATTGACCAGGCCTTTATCACGATGCAGACGTAATGCTGTTGTTTTTAGCTCAGTGGTTCGTGCCCCAAGATACGCGGCGTGTGCGGGATCAAGCCTCATAATCTATCAACGACACATGGGTGTTTCGTCCATGCAGACTGTGGTCGAGAAAAGGGGTTTATGCGTTTAATGCCAACACCGCCGAGAACGCTGGAGAACGATCGTCGGAAATGGAGCCTTTGCGTTCATTCCAGCATTTCGTCTCTTATTACTGCACAAATCATAGTGCAGTATTGAAATCGGGGGTTGGAACCTTGTGTCTGGTATGCGACCCCAAGATGTTGACTTACACCTTATTTCGTTCGGCATTGGTTTAGTGCAACGTCGATGTTGGTGTAATGAAGCTGTCGAAGGAGTAGGATTAATACGCTCAAGCTGACTGTAAGCTGTGATAGATGTGGTTTCGGCATCCGAGCCTGACAGGAGTCCAGGGCTATTGTTATACTGCTTCTTGTTAGATGATGACGCCTGAATACGACAGTGGGTCATTTGCGAGCCGGTCTCAGGCGTCCAATCCGAGGCTGACGCAGCACAGCCCAGCTCGGCGCGTTCCATTCTTTGCTTCTGAAGGGTTGGATCAGAAGTGATGGATCATATGGATCCTTCCATCTCTCTAGCCTTGGCAGTCCTTGGGTCGATAAAAATGCACTTCAGATTAAGAATTAGAGGTTGAACACTTGACTCAGGTGTTACGACCAGATGGTTATATGTCATACAAGCAAAACGAGCTAACAGAGGCGATGACATTTCATCATTCTTGAAATTCGCCCCCGCGATCACGAGGTATATAAATGATTTCAAACAGTCGATATGACCTTGGCGATCTAGTTCTACTCGTGATTTTTCGCAACCCCTGGGGAGTCCTGTCACTGGAAATTTGGACCTGCAGATGGTAGGCTCAGGAGAGGAGACCCCTAACAAGGGTCCTCTCCAGTTGACGAAACAAGGAGCAAAGGGCACTCGCGTTCCTGAGCGGCGCTGAGCTAAGGCTTTAAGACAGGGGGACAATGGGTTTCTGTTGTTACTTGCATGTACCTTACCCAAGGACAATGCAATGGTAAAATTAGTGTCCAAAAGTCTGTGGACGGTGCCCTGCTAACGTGTAATCTACCAGATAAAATCAGACTGATCCTAATTATAAACTTAGATAAAACTTAGATAAAATATATCTCAAATGAATGGAATTTTGGCCACCTTATGCGTAAAGCGTAAAAGAAACTATAAATTTAATGATGTAGTTAAAGCTCTTATTATATAGGCTATAGAGAGTGGGAAGTTATATTGAGCTGTTGCATAAGAGGTAAGATGTTTACTATAAATAATCTTAAATATTATTTAACGCTGGAAAACTCTATAAACTCTGGATAAAAAACTAAGATCTGGATATCCCTGAAAACTTACGATTTAGCAGATTTATGTCACGGGTCAGGCTCGGGAATACAGGTGAACGGGGAACGCTTCGGGCGGGATAGATTCTATTGCTACGGATAGGCA